CCACTCTGGACCCCGAGGTTCTGTTCTCACCTCTGCATATAATCTCATGGCTTTTAGGTCCCTTGAAAGGGCATTATTTGGCTGGCCGAATTTACATACACCTTCCAGGTATTTGTTCATGTTTTGCCATCAGTTGATTCAAACATTAATCTAGACATGAAGCAGAAATGTTCACATTTTTACTGACACAGTAGCTTTACACTCATTAAAATCACAGTGGATAAATTCAAGCTAGAAACTTTGTTTGCTGGAAAAACCTGCCAAGCGAAGTTGTGAAAGATTTTAAAGGCTTCCCAGGGATCAGTGGAGATGTTAGAAAAGTCAAAGCCTGTGTTGAGTTGATGGAGTTGCTGAGATGACTGATGCTGGGGAACATTTCAAAGGACATTAAGAAGTATTAAATGAGAAATTTGAAGACATTGCTAACTCATCTATAGGTGAAGATAAACCTGAACCAGAACCAGTAAGGTGGATGTTACCAGAATTTGCCAATTTGTTTCAAGCTGTACAGACCTTAAAAGACAGAATTGTGACCACTGTGCTTGAGTGTAGTATTCAGTTCACCTATATACTCACCAAAGGATTATAACCTCTAAAATTATGCTTCCATAACTTAAAACAGTGTTTGATTTATATTCTTTCAAAAGTTGAGGACTCCAGCCATCATCCTCGTCCATCCCTCTATGTCTTTCCAACTCAGTGATCAAGGACCTTCCAAAGCAGATTGTCCTCTTCCTGATACTTCACCAAAAGGTCAAGGGTCAAGAGTAGCCAAGCTCTAGGTCACTATGCCTGCGTCATTCACCTCACTTCATCTCATCGCAAAAGCTTTGTATCTTCTCACGATTATAATAAGGGTGATTTCAGATGATCAAGGATAGTGAGAGAGAAAAAAGACCACATTCATGTAACTTTATTACAGTATATTGCTGTAACTGTTATGTTATTATTATGCATCACTTGCTATGCCCAGTTTATAATTTAACCTTTTTATAGGCATACTTGGGTTAGGTGTATTGAGTTGATGGGGTCTGATATTCATGTCCCAGACATGTTGTGGGGCTCCTCAAACATAACCCCCATGCTGAAGAGGAATACTGTGCATATATATAATCATCATCATCCTCATCAGAGAGCTGAAAAGAATAACCAATACATTGACTAGGGTTGGAAATAAGATCCAAGAAGACCACACAAACATTAGTTTGTTATTTACTTCACTTTCCTAGGTGGGAAGAGTGAATGGAAAGTTAGCAAATTGCTGTTTACAGCAAATCAGTGTTTAGTTTTGAACCAAACATTTAGATCAAGACTAGAAAGAGCTGGTTTAATAGCATTTCCCGTAAAAATACTCCAGCTCAGAGCATGGCAACAGTATCACTGTGAAAGCTAGCACTGTGCTCTGCACACTGAAAAAAAGTGTGATTATTTGTAGTTTTCAAAAACACTTTTGGAAGGTTAGATTTCTTGAGGTTTAGTTTACATACTTTGTAATTTACTTAAAAACAAAATACACCCTTTTTAGGGTATTGTTACAAGGTCGGAAAAACTCATTCTCTCACAATCACCACTTCCATCATTCCAAACCATTCACTCATGTCCCTTCCAGTAAACCCCTGCCCTCCCAGCCCCTGACAACCACTGACTTCTCTGACTTCTGGTTTTGCAAGCTATTCATGCCTTTACTTTGAAAACTTGATTCTCACAATACACCCCAATATTACTAATATCATCACATCTGTTTTTACATGTGATGAACTGAGGGTTCCTAAGCAACTGTCCCAAAGCTGCACCATGTGAATGAGTCCTGAAACTGTGCCCCCAACCCTTGTTTTCTAGTTCAGGATCCTGTCTGGTTACTTCACTTGGCCCTTCCAGGTAGCCCCTTGTTCCGAAAGCCCCAATCATCTTTAGGCAGAGCCCTGTTTTAGAGTCTGGTGTTAAATTTTTCCTCATAACACACTGGAGGAATGAAAACAGTTTCTCAGTGTATGTAGACATTTTAGGTTTGTTTCCTAAACACTCTTTGCCCCATGAACCCAGCACCATAGATGCAGTGTATATCTGTAGTTAATAGTTAACTTTTCCCTTCTCTTTTACCCTTCCAGGCTTGGCCTTTTCTCTTAAACTTAAGAGTACTTTAAGCCTACAGATCTTGTGACTGCCCTCTGAGCTCTCCTTCCTTTCTCACAAACACAGTGCCTATTGGCCGCTGAGTGGTTTTAGCAGCCTACTTACAGCCAATAGATTTTTAAGGATTTAACTACCTGCTTTATTTTTATACTCTTTCTCTTGCTTTCATTCTAGGTTAGCTGTGTGTGTGTGTGTGTGTGTGTGTGTGTGTGTGTGTGTGTGTGTGTGTAACCAAATTTTGCAAAAACTTTGACTTTGCTATGGATTCTACAAGAATTCATTTTAAATATTTTTCTTTCAAAGGCACATACACAGATCTTTTCTTAATAGAAAGATTTGCTGTTCATTAAAAAATGGGCCATAGATGATACCTATAAATTTCCTAGAAGCCCTCTGAATTGAGGATCTATGAGACACACCCATAATCATGGGAAAAAAATCTTTGTATGACTGAATACTGGTATTTTCATCTTTCTGGGGTGTTAGCAAAAAGTTATATATATAGTCACATTCATTAATCTTTGCGACAAAGCCTGTGTGCCTCACAGTGACTCTTAATGTTTGTGTCTGTTGCCATCTGGAGAGTCTCAGAACTTTAAAAAAAAAAAAAAAACAAGGCCAGTTTCATTTTTATGTAGGTTCTTGCTTCAGGTTTTTTTTTTTTTTCTCGTAGTCTACTGTAAATGGCCAGATGAATCCAGTTGGTACTTTGAAAACACTGTCTGGAAGTCGTCTTAACTGTATACCTCAGCTGGGTGCTTATAAGCTCTGCTTCCCACACAGCTGCGGGATGCAGTTTTGTTGAGCTTTCTGCCAATATCACAAGAATCTTCTCCCCCATATCCTTTCAAGCTTAAAGTGGTGTCCAAAAAGTCTGTTTGTGGCATGTTGTACTTTCTCTGATCCTACCCAAATTCCCCCATCTCTTGCCACTGGTCAGTTCCAAATCTACCCTTACATTTGGAGATCTGATATATAACAGCACTCTCACTCCGGTAACAGGTACCAAACTCGATAGTCCCTTCCTACTATTGAGCAACAAGTCACTGTTAATTGAATGGTTTCAAACAATAAATATTTGCTGTCCCACAAATTGCATGGATCAGGAGTCCAGGGACCACTCAGCTGGGTCTGCTGCTAGTATCCTCCCAGAACTGCGATCAAGGTGGCAGCAAGGCCATACTTCATTCAGATGGGGAGAGCCTGGAGTAGACTCTGCTTCTGGGTTCATTCAGTTTGTTGACATAATCCATCTGCTTGCAGCTGCATGACTAGGGACCCAGGCTTCCAACTGCTGGGTGCTGAAAGTAGAGGTCAGCTGAGGCCCCCATAGTTTCCTGCCAAGTGGCCTTCTGACAACATAGGAGCTTATCTCAAGGCTGACAGGAGACTCACTCCAGTCTGCTCAGCCCAAATCTCTTATAATGTACTATAGTCACAAAAGTGACATCTCCCCATCATTAAATTCCAAGCTACAGGTTCTACCTTACAACAGGGAGGGATTTATACAAGAGTATGATTCATTCGGAGGCGTATTAGGGTGTGTTTCACACAAACAGGCTAGTAGGCTGAATAGAGCCACCCAAAGAAGCAGGTGTTCATCCCTAGGACCTATAACTATTAGTTTATTTGGGATGGGGGAGAGTTTTTATTGACATGAGTAAGATAGAAGTTTTGATAAGAGGATTACTCTGGATATTCTGGGTGCGCAGAAGAGGCTATCACATATATCCTTGTACAAGTAAGGCCGAAGGAGGTTGGACAAGTACATAGAAACCACATGTTGCAAACCAGCAGGTTGAGTTTTGAAGGCCCTCGCCTTGACCAGAGATTGGGAAAGCAGCCAAAAGCAAAGAGTGCTAGCAGTGAGCACCTGGTGGGAGAGCGAAGGACAGATCCTCTCAGGAGTTTCCATCAGGAGCAGAGCAGCCCACCAGCACCTTGGGTTTGATGGTACTGATTACTCTTCCAACTGCCAGGACTGATGTTTGTTGCTTTAAGCCACCCAGGTGATGGTAATTTGTTATGGCAGCCATAACAAATACAAATGGATGTTAATTCATGGTTAGGCTTTGCTTTTTTTGTGTATTTCATTGGTTGCTCAATAAGCTGAAGGATTCTTTCATTAAGTTATTAATAGCATAGGTGTCTTCTGTGTGTTTTCTAACTTGGGTCTTTTTTTTAAATTATATTTATTCTATTTTAGTGATTAGTAGGGTTTGTTAGCCCTGCGTAACTATTGATCTTACATTCAATATGTGCTATTGAAGAAGAAATTTGTCTTTTTCCAATCTGTAGCTTGTCTTTTTTGTCTTGTTAATGGTATGTTTTGTATTGTGATTTATTTTCAACTTCCTTTATTACAGAAAACTGTAATCACATCCTAAAGAATAGACAATAGTGTTGTCTTCCATGTTCTTATCACTTGGCTTCAACAATTGACAGTATTTTTCTAAGAGGTGTTCATCTTTTTCCTTTAAGATATGTTTTGTTCTTGTGTTATCTAAGAAATCTTTAGTTCCTGTGCTGGTATTATTTGTGCATATGAGTTTCTGTTATCACACTCATTCTTTTCTACTTTTACATAAATGTGGCATGTGACAATCTTTAAAATTAAAAGCATTACTAACATCACTGTCAATGCAACTTCTTTCTGAATAACCTGTAATTTTCTTATTCAGTGTGAACATATTAGGAACTCATTAGTTGAATCCAAAGAACATCATGTATATCGTCATAGAGTTTGTTGAAAATCCCATGTGTCCTCATAAGAAGATTAATCATTCAGAGAAATGTCAAAATACAAGTGAGTCAGACTGATTTTTTTTTTAACTACATAATTCATCTGATTTTCTTCTTTCTTTTAGTGTGTCACCTGGACTTGAAGGCATGAAAGAACAGGACCTCTGCAATAAGATACTGGCTAAAATCCTGGAAAATTATAGTGCCCTGTTTGAAGTGGATTGTACAGACCAAGATTGGAAGTATGAAAACCTGACAAAGCTTATCGTTGTTAAAGTAAGTTATTTGGAGATTTAATTTTCAGTATCGCTGTAGGTTTAATTGGAAGATTCTACTTAGATCAGTTTTTGTCCAAAAACATCCATGTGGATATAACTTCCAGATTATTATTCCTGTTTGTGTCAATTCTTCTGGAATTGTTTCCTCTCTCAAAGGTTTATTAAGTTGAATATCTTCTAGGTTGTAAAGAACCGTGTTTTTGTTTTTCCATGTCGCTATAAAACCATTTTTAATATAAACCATTTTCCAATATAACTATTTTACATTATATTTTTTATAATCTGAAAGTATTTGAGGGCTGTGCTCTGCTCAGTGGAGTGCCCCACCTTTTTATAGCAGTTTAATATTACAATAGGAGTCCCTGTCTGGGTCACACTTAGGAGAGCCAGCTTCTGACAGGATTGGAGATGCCTGGAGGGTACACTTGGAAGTTCAGCCACAGATTCTGAGTTTCTTATATTAGGCCATAGTAACTGTCATCTTAAAGATGCTCAAAAGATTCCTTAGCAACACTATATACATAATTTTATATATTGATAATTCATGGCATATCCTTTGCACATTAGGTAAACACATGTTGGTCTCTGTAGACACATAATTAAAAGTCAGAGGATAAACATCCTCCAGATGTTGGAAAAGAAGAAAGGCATATTGCAATAAATCATAATGGAGCTGATGTGAGAAGCTTCCTCTGAAAGTTTCCCGTGACTTATCAGATTCACAGACCACACTGTTCAGTTGTTGATTCATATGGCAATGAAGGATGAAGCCAGAGACACTTGAGTTAGCTATGTGAAAGTGTTTTCATTTGTTCTTCCATGATTTCCATGGACCCATGATTGTGGAGGAATGAAAGATAATGGTGTCAGATAGCATCTCACCAAAATAGGATAATAAAACATTCCAGGTTTTTTTTTTTATAAACTAGCATTTATATTGTTGATACAGCAGTCTTTCTATGAGGGACAGTGTGAATTTCCTGAGAACTGAAGGGACCATGCCAATCCAGAGGAGACCTGAAAAGGAAATTTGAGATCTAGGAGAACAAAGTTCAGATAAAATAGTAGAGGCGAGTGGAGACTCTCAGATATAACTAAAATTGAGAGTAAGATAGTGATTGAAAAAAAAGTGTTATTGTTTAAAATGCAAATAATAAGAAGAAAAACCTACTTCAGTGTTGCTACAAAAAAATCAATGCAATTTTTAAATAGGATATATTTCCTCTAAGTTTGCATCTCTGGTGCCCATAAGTAGAAAGCTGGATTGAAAGAGCAGCTGAGGCACAAACTAGCATCCATATGGGATCCTGGAACATACATTGCAAGGATTTAGCCATTGAGCTATTGTGCAGGGCTCTGTGTCTGTATTCTAAAAGCCTCATTCTGTTTAAACCCATTTTGTTCTTAGTCTTCTCTCTGAAAAGGCAGAGAGTGGAACATGGAAATGCAATTCTCTATGCTTCTGCACTTCATTATAAACAATAGGGAAAGTACAGAGGTCATTCTACAAGAATGTGCCAGTGATAGTTTCAAGTTCATGACAGTAGGAGATTATATTAGCACCATCCAATAAGGAAACCTGAACAGTGCTTAGAAAGAAAAAATTTTGAATGTTTATTTAATGCATTTGAAAGGCAGAATTATATGGGTAGAGAGGCAGATATACACACTGGTTCAATCTCCAAATGACTGCCATGACTGACCCCAGCCAAAGCCAGGAGCCTGGGACTCCATCAGAGTCTATAGTGCGGGTGGTAGCACATCTTGGGATGCTTTTTCCCTGGTGCATTAGCAGCAAGTTGGGTTGGAAGTAGAGCAGGCCCAGGCAGGAGCTTAACTTGTACTATGATGTTGGCCTCAAGAAAGCAAGACATTTTTTAAATTCAAAACATAATAGAAATATTAGAAACCAAAAAGAAGCTACATTTCAAAAGCATGAAAAAGTTCACTGTAAAATCATAAACATAAGAGAAAAGAAAAAAGGGAAAACCATTCAGAAAATGTGATGTGTTGACTTTGGTCATTCATTCACGTGAGCTCAGCTTTTACATGGATGGGGACACAGAAAATGGGCACAAGGCAAGTGACAAAGACCCAAGAGTGCACAGTTATACAACGTTTCAGTTAGCCAAGATCCACTTTAACAACTGGAAGAAGGTCCAGGGTGGTGGTGGCCTAGTGGCTGAAGTCCTTGCCTTGCATGCACTGAGATCCTATATAGCTGCCAGTTCGTTTCCCAGCTACTCCACTTCCCTTCCAGCTCCCAGTTTGTGGCTGAAAAAGCGGTTGAGGATGGCCCAAAGTCTTGGGACCCTGCATGGAAGACCTAGAAGTTCCGGGCTCTTGGCTCCTAGCTCCTGGCTTTGGATCTGCTCAGCTCCGAGCATTGCAGCCAATTGTGAAATGAATCAATGGTCTGTAATATCATCCTCTTTCATTAGTGATGGATTTAAAGGTCAGGTGTGACACATTTAATAACAAAGAGATAGAAAGTGTGCTAAGGGCTTCCAGGAAGAATTTTCATCCTGCCTGCAGGAATGATTGGTTTAAGAAATCAGAGCTGTGGCTACCTCCAGGTGGGGTATGGAAATGTATAGAGTGACTGATGAGGAAGGTGCCAGAAAACTATGAGGTAATAAAAAAATCTGTACCTTAATAGGAAATGTGTTAGACCTGTGTACACAGTTATTAAAACACATCTATCATCTACTTATGACCTACACATTCTGTTTTATGTAAATTAATGAAATTCCACCTTAGAAGAGAAAAAGGTAGCATCTGAATCAAGACCCCAGTCTTGGGCCCAGCGCAGTAGCCTAGCAGCTAAAGTCCTCACCTTGCATATGCTGGTATCCCATGTGGGTGCATTTGTGTCCTGGCGGCCCACTTCCCATCCAACTCTCTGTTTGTAGCTGGGAAAGCAGTCGAAGACAATGCAAAGCCTTACGACTCTACACCAGCGTGGGAGACCCAGAAGTGGCTCTTGGCTCCTGGCTTTGGATTGGCTGAGCTCCGACCATTGTGGCCACTTGTGGAGTGAATCATTGGGTAGAAGATCTTCCTGTCTTTCCTCTCTGTATATCTGACTTTCCAATAAAAATAAATCTTTAAAAAAAAAAAAAGGATCCCCAGTCTTTACATCTTACTTGTAGATGTTTTCTTGGAAATACAGAATGCTTGATCCCTGAGGCCTGGTACAATGGCTGAATTGGTTCATCCATAACCTGCAAGCACCAGGATCCTGTATGGGCACCTGTTCATGTCTTTGCTGCTTTACTTCCCGTCCAGCTCCCTAATTATGGCCTGGGCAAGAAGTAGAGGATGGCCCAAAGCCTTGGGACCCTGAACTCACATTGGAGACCCAAAAGAAGCTCCTGGCTCCTGATTTTGGATCAGCTCAGCTCTGGTCATTGTGGCCATTTGGGGAGTGAACCTGCAGATGGAGATCTTTCTGACTCTGTCTCTCTTTCTCTGTAAATCTGCCTTTACAATAGAAGTAAAATAAATCTTTTTAAAAAATGTATCAGTAATGCACTGAAGTTGTCTCCCATTCAGAAAGTGAAAGTCTGGGTCCCTCAGGTCATCATGTTGCAAACACATCCCCCACTACTTCTGGTTGCTTGAGAGAAGTACATATACTTTAATATAAATTACTTTTAGCAGAATATCCTGTTGGTTGCACTAAATTGGTCACATCTGATACAATCAATGTAATTGAAAAGTCCTACATTTAATTTTACAAAATAATTTACTCTGGACTCTCCATTTAACTGTCACTGATTTTGATGTTTGCAGTAATTTATAGGTAGGATGCCTATGCGCCATGTTGTTGGAGTACCTGGGTCCAATCCCTGGCTTCAACCCCTGATTGCAGCTTCCACCTAAAACAGCCCCTGGCAGGCAGCAGTGTTGGCTCACATAATTGGATTCCTGTTACCCACATGACCACCTAGGTTTTCCATAGCTACTGCAGGTATTTAGAAAGTAAGCCAGCAGATGGGAGCCTTCTCGCTCTCATTTGTTTCTCTCTCAAAAAAATAAGTTTTAAAAAATGGTTAAATTGAAAGCAGTCCCTGGGTTTTAGTTACCTGCTAGCACAGTATGAAATAATGGGGTGATGTGATTGGCGAAAATGTATGACCCCTTGGGAGACACTCAATTCCTAGCCAAGTCATAGCTCAGTCAGAACAAATATTGCTATTCATTCTTAGGTCTTGCATCTAGAGCTCTTTCCGATACATACTGATAATGTCCAGCTGCTTGGCAGTTACTACACCTCCCATGAATTGTCTCAGCATCTTTCCTTGCCCTGGAAGGTCTAATTCTCACCTTATATTGTGGAGCTTCATAAATGCTCATCCACTTGCACAATTGCTCCATTGATACAAATCTCTGTTATGTTGCGGTCTAATTTCAACGTAGTGGTATTTGCAGGTAGGTATTTGGGTGGGGTAACTAGATTGTAATGATGTAGTACTCATGAATTGGATTAATGTGCTTATGAAGTAATTTATTGTCTTTCTACCCTGGAATGATGTACACAGAGGGCCTACACAGAATCATAGTGGCATACCGAGCTGTGACTTCCAATCTCCTGGAAGTTTCTGTAGTTTATAAGGCATCTACTCTCATACTTTGCTTTGGCAGCCCGGACTGGCTAGGACATTCACTAAAGCTTGTTTTTTGTTTTTGTTTTTATTGTCTTAAGGATCTCTTAAATCTCTTGTTTCAGATCTAAGGAGGCATGCTGTAATCCCATATGTTATGATATGGGCTCTGTGTCATATGTAGCCTTCAGAGTTTTGAGCTGCGCTCTTTGTAAACCTCGTTTGTTGAGAGTTTTTGTTATGAAAGGATGTTAAATCTTACCAAATGCTTTCTCTGCCTCATGTGAGAGAATCTACATCTTCATTCTCTTGATCTGATGTATGATGTTTATTGATTTGCAAATGTTGAGCTACTCTTTTCTGGACTAAACCCCATTTGATCATACTGAAT